AGTTTCAGAGCCAATTTCAATTTTAGACTACTTGTGTTTGTACTGTGGAACTAATTAGTTTAAACGTATTTATTCAAGATGGAAAACCCACGTACGTTTATTATCCCGGCGCATCCACCATTCTAGGATACAAAAACTTTATTATATTTTAGTCTGCTATGTGAAACCTTAAAAGGAAGCATTACTTGAAAGATATTACATTAAAGAATAAAAATGTGTTGAACAATTTTAAGTCGCTACCTACTTATTTTCTTCTTAAAAAGATAGTATACGATGCGTTAAAATATGATATGATATCTAGTCCTTTCGATTTGGTTTATTTTATTTTGTTTTTTTTTTTCATTGCTAAAGTACTACCTCCTTGTTTTTAAAATTTAAAACTCACGGTTTCTTAACATTTTGGGAAACTCGAACAATAATTTACTGAAATAGTCATATACTATGGAGAGTATAGCTAAACTGAACACAAATTTGTTTTAAAAAGATTACATACTACATTTTTTAAGAACTTTATTGAAGATTAAATTTTCACTGTATTTTCATCCAATTTGAAACCGTTTTTTTACCCTATTTTAAATTTAGGATATAATTTAGCATTAAACTAAATTAAATCCCCTCAGAACACCGTTCTGTATAACTAGGTAATCAAATACCGAATCTTCATACAATTACGTCTAATCAATTATAAACCCTAGACGAGACATACAATGCAACCAAGTCATAATGGTCATAAATAAAGGATTTGTGCTCCGTCTTCTCATCCGAACACTCTTCATAGTTTGACTAGGTAGTAGTGCAACGTATACTCATTTCGTTTAGGATATACCTCATAAAATTTTATGATAAAATTGAGCTCTTTACGACGCGGTGAAGATGCGATAAGCCACTATTGTTAGCTGATGCAGTTACATTGTCGCTTGAATCCACTTAATCCTTAATCCAGGGTCGGACTTGTCGTCCGTTCTGGTAATCTTTGTTATTTGCGGTGAAAAAATAATATCTGTACTAATATAATAAAAAGAGAACTTTAGAATGACTGACTGATCAACGTAGATCCGAAACTACTCAAGTCAGAAATACGAAATTTGGACAATAGATTTATGTTATGGCTTAGGTGAGCAATAACAAAGGATTTTTGAAAATTTCGTCTCTAAGGGTGTGAATTAAAGGATGAACTTACAGTATATATAAATAATGAAACACGTATTTGAAAATTTTTCATTATTCATCCCCTAAGGGTGTAAAATCGGGGATATAAATTAAGGGTGAAAGGATAAAAATGTGTTTGAAAGACTTCAAATGAATAACAATAGATTTGTTTTATGACCTAGGTAAACAATAAGGAAATATTTTTGAAAATTCCACCTCTAATGGTGTGATCTAGGGGATGAATTTTAAAGTAGAATAAAAAGTCCCAGGCCGGTTCTTTGAGGACTATACTCTAAAATTATTTTTAAAATACACTGTTCTGTTTTTAAAGTGTAACACAGAACTTCGTTTTTTTTTTTTAATGAAACATCCTATATATTTTTAGATATTTTAATTGGCCTATTCTCAACCTTTACAACTACAGTTTATTTTTGAAATACAATGGAAGGGTTCACAAACAAAACGAAAATATTTTTAACATCTGTGTAGCAATATTTTGTGGAGAAATAAATAATGAGACGCGCTTTGTTGTGGTATAACTGAAATAAAATTCATGTACAGGGAGTCTGCAATTATTACAATTTTCAAATATCGATATTTCAGTTTTTCAATTAGAATACCCTGTATTTTATTACGGCATTCTATTTTTTGTTCTCTTCCTTTTTGTTATGTATTTTCTATATTTAAAATTAGCAGAATGAGAACAAAAACTGGAGTAAGATATAGTAATCAAATACAGAGTGTTCTATTTGCAAATTCTAAAGTTTTTAGATTTTTTATAACCGCTCTGTATATTAAAATATGATTTAATTGATATCAAAACAAAGCGCGTACCTTTATTCCACAAAATATTGTAAGAGACACCTTAAAAATTAGTCTATTGCGATTTTATTGTGCACTCTTCCATTGCCAAAAAATTTTCAGAAAATAGGTCATGTAAACGTGCCGCCTCTCAGATTTAACTGTACGGAGATCCGTACTAAGAGCCCGAGGACGCATGACAAAGATCACACATGTGTATAACTGGTTGCCTAAAAGCTTCACATGTTTTTAAAAATAAAACTAATTCATTACGATAAAAAGAAACAAATTTAAACAACACAGTAAATGTTGGAAATGTTCATAATTCTGTTCAAAGCACTTGTTCACTCTCTTTTTAATTTCAAAAATGTTCTGTAACATCCTTTCGTCAATACTTTGGACCCGTTGTTTAATTGTTCAATTCTGCTCAAGTAATCTCAAATCATCAACAATTTCCTCAGATTTCTCTTCGTTGATACTGCCAGTTCGAACAAATCTCTTGATTACATCTCTGTGGGTCTTGAACGATGTTTCTTGAATTATTAAACCACGGTATTTAGCCAGATATTCTTGCTTACAAGAGGTTACAGAATACAAACACTCTTCGGTTACGAAGTCCCATTGCAATAACAAGACATAACGATGAAAGTGTCTTGTTCAACAGAATAAACCATGTTCAGTCTTCGCTTCCGAGCACAAAAACAAAATTTTCGTACGCAACCACCAAGAGTTCTGAAAATGACTGTTTTGTTGTTTTGAGCTTGGATTAACGAGAATGACTGTAATTCGCACTTGAAAAACATTAAAGCAATAAAAACGACGACTTTAAATGACAGGTTACAATTGACATTAGACATTCATGTGACAAGTGAGAAATGCATAATCACCGGCATAATTTCAGCGAAGCAGTATTTTTGAAATACATGGCCAACTACGCCCTTAGAATCATTTATAAAAGTCCTTTAGTTATAAAGTATAGGAAGAGGCTAATGAAAATATGTCAAAATATATAGTGTTTCATTAAAAAAAAAAAACTAAGTAGTGTGTTACACCTTAAGTATACAAAACGTTGTGTATACTTAAAAATAATTTTAAAGTATAGCCAGTCCTTAAAAAAGCGTACAACTTTGCTCTTTGACTTTTTATTTTATCTCTAATGATTAATGAAGTATTGAGCACCACCCTGTATAATACGTATTTCATAATGTATCAATATTCATCCCCTAAAAGTGTAAAATGGGGGATAAAAGTTAAGGTTGTAAAGATAAAAATATTTATGGTTGAATACAAGTCAGAACTACGAAATTTGGACAGTAAACAATAAGAAAACATCTTTATAGTATTATATCAAAACTGTCAAAAATACAGACGGGCAAAGCCACGCCATTATATGATGATCTATAGTAAGTATTTGTATACACTATACTTACAAAGGTTCATCGTCACTCGAAAAATTAGAATCTTCTGTACCTACATTAATTTCAACGAAATCTGAAATTCAAAGAAGGAATGTTATTAAAGAAAATCCACACGTGTGCTGCATTAAATTATCTGGCACGCGACTTCGATGATACAGACCAACCACCTCTTGTAAAGTGGGGCTATATAATTTCGAATATTATTCGACATTTACCTTAAACTTAATGACAATTGACAGGTTAGTGCGACTCCTGGTGACAAATAGGGGATAAAATCTTTATTCAGAGAATATGATCACTTCAAAAATTGTGGGTGGAAATGAATACGTTACCTAATACCTAGTTAATAAAGAAGAGTGTTCGGATGAGAAGACGTATTCCTTCATTTATGACCTGACAAGTGTTTAAGTTATAATGATTTACATTGCGTCTCTCGGTAGTAAAACAATTTAAAGTATTCTAAAGCATTACAACATGAGCAACAAAATAGAAAACTGTTAAATTTTGAATCTTTTATGAGCAAACAAATAGGATTCGATCAGTACCTGGGGACCTGTTATTTCAATAAATGCAAAAAATTAATTCTAATTACTGACCTGACATATGTAAAGACTATATGTATGTATTACAACAAATCTATCTTATTATTACAATGTGGAAAACACAGCCTTATATCTTCAGAATCGATAGAAATATTGAAGTTTTGGAAACTCCATTGTTTTTAACTTGATAGGAGAAGCTTACACTGTAAATAATCAACTTATATTCTTAATATAATTCAAATGCCTAAAAAACCTTTTTAATTCTGAAAATTCTGTCTCATGGAAGAAAAAATTTAAATTTTCAAATTTTATATGATAACAAGATAAATCTGACCGAACAACTTTAAAACGTCTTCGGTTAATACTTACTAGTTAAAACTAAAGTAAAGAGCTTCCTATTTTTAGCACAATTAACCCGCTTCTTTCCTATTCTGACATAAAACTAGACTTTGTATATACCGTGAGGTTTTTTTTCTCTGAACATAGGATAATTCATGTATGTATCCTCCAATGGATTGATTTGGACTTTTAAAAACTGAACATAAGATCACATAAGATTCGTAATAATTGAGGAGTAGGTCATGTCAACGAGGACATTTACAGTAAAATTTTTAACGTAAATTTTCTGTTCTTTAAACTTGTATTTATTACAATATCTTAACATGAAGACAGTAGTGCCGAATGTCAATGGCAATATCTTTCACATATCCTAAATCTCGATTAGATTTTATGTTCAGTTTTTAAAAGTCCAAGTCAATCCATTACAAGCAGGTATGCAACCAACTTAACATTAATTATCCTATGTTCAGAGAAAAAAAAACCTCACGGTATATCGAAATGTACACCTACGATAACAACGTAAGTACATGTACTCTGCACATTTTTCTAAAACACTATTGTGTTGAAACTGTCAGGTAGAACCCTTAGCATGTTAAATAAACATAAATTTCTTAGAAGAAGCTATAATATTTCACTCCCCTCCCAGTCCGCCGTAATAATAACAAGCTGAGGTAATCACGCTTTTCATAATACTATACCCTCTGAATATTACAGTTTGATGCGTTCATAATAAATCTCATTTTTCTTTCAGAATATTACAATGCCGCATCAGTGGATGGAAGGAAATTTGCCAGTTTCTGCGAAATGTGCTGTTTGTGATAAAACTTGTGGTTCAGTACTTAGGTAAGCAATTTTCAGAACACTTTTACGACAGGAGTTAATTTAACGGAATTACGACGTTTACAAACATTAAACACTCACTCTCGTTATAGGAGCAGCGACTATAAAAATTATAACCGCTTTAAAGATTCATAAAAAGGCTCTCAATATGGAAAAGCAATCGATATTTTAATATCCGCAAACTGGATTAGCTTTTAGCTTCCGCATCGGACAGACATTTCAAATTTTTAATTCCATCATCTAGACTGCGAAACGTATTTCCGCGAAAAAAGTATAAAACTTTGATAACTGCATCTGTAACTTGTGAAAGGGAAAATTTATTTCCGTTCTACTTCCAATATGCAGTCAATATAGATCCTTAATAGCACGGGCAAAGAAGCGAATATTACAGACGAGGGTTTGCCGGCAGAACTAAGGGAAAATTGCCCATTGTTGCCACTGTTGGGTCTATTTGTAACTTTCTTTTCAGACAAGCACGCTAAAAGAGGTGACCTAAATCAGTATGAATACTCGCCAAGGCTGTGAAAACCGCATTTCATAGTGTTAGCTTACAAAATATTTTTGCTGAAATCGACACGAAAATTACACTTTATTACAGGATTCAGTCCTTACAATCTTGTGAGAAATTATAACATGAATCTCGTCACTGAGGGTACTTGTTATCACTCATGTGCGTCTCCACAGTCGTAATAAAATATTACACTTCATCCCCTTATACATGATAATACATAATTATGAGAGACCGGGACAAAAGGGCCGGAATAACTCCAAAATCCTCGTGAAACCTTACAAAATATTCATACGTGTACAACTGATACCTGGGCATATATTTTAGAAAGTGTTTTTGCATTGCTTTAGTTGTTTGTTAGTTCTAGTATCCATTTATACTCCGGAGTCTTTTTTTCTAGTTCTTTTAAGTCAAAATTTAATTTTTACCAATTAGCCCGGTTTTTTTTTTATTTACACTTTTTGTTTTTGGTAGGAGCAACTTGTCAAAATACCCTAAACACGGTCAAAGTCAAAATAAGGTAGTCTCAGAAACGCTTCACGCTGGAGAGGCGTAATTCGAGAATAAATGTTCAAATTCAGGCTGCAAGAAAAGTAAGCATAAATACTCCTGCCGTTTCAAGTCCACGATGACATCAATTTAATGGATGTTCTGTATCTCCAAAATGCTTCAGTGTTTATGATTAGCTTAAATACCACCAATGAACTATTTTAAATCTCAAATGACAAGTTATGAAGTGTGAATACCATAATAACTCCGATAAAAACATATGTAGGAGTTTAGATATTTGGTAATAAAACGAGTTAAGCCCAAACAAGTGAACTGCAAACTTAGAATAGTATTGAAGTTCTTAATTACAGGCTGACTACGTTGATAAACAATTTTTCCAAGATCTTTGAAATTGTCCTTGACTCCCAAATGTATTATATGTTAGTAATTATTTAGCGCCTCAACAACATGTTCTTATTAAAAGGAAAGTCGACCAACTTATTGAAAACGCGGTTTTTAGCTGAATGTCTTGATATTCTTGGACTTTTCGAAGCTTTTTGACCGTCTCAATCACAGATTACTATTGTTGAAAATGAATGAGTCGTATATCAATATAATGAATTTTGCTCAGGTATCGGGTGTTCCTCAGGAGTCTGTTGTGAGACCCATTGTGTTATTATTGTATTAGTTTTCTTGTTAATAGTACTACTATGCCATGAGTGTTGTAAACACGAAGAAACTACGTTTTGCTCCATTTACCTATAATATCCAAATTTCGAAACAGTGAGCAAGTACATGTACAAACGAATAGTAGTGGACCCAAAACCAAGCCATGCGGAATTCGAGTCTCAATGGTTTCGTACCTGAACAGATCCCTACCCGTACTTGAAACGTGCGATGCAAGTAGAAAATTTATAAAAATCGTAGTAGACATCATCAACAGGTATAACTTGTGGTTTAAGACCAAAATCTAACCGTTAAGGAATTCAACATAAAAGATTTGTTGTTGTAGATCCATCGACTATTAAGCCAATTGAGTGCCAACTATCAAGTGGTGAGATATAATAGTAATTATTACATATTACTAAAGATTTTTGTAATTTAGCTACTTCAGATCACAATTGTCATTTGTTAAAATTTGAATTTCAGATACCATTTCAGCAATTTCGTCAGCTAAAGGCTGAGTATGAATATTGGCGGTATGATCTGCACACGTCAAATTCATCAATTTACATCAACTTATTGAAAATTTAAATTAATACATAATAATAGGTTAATAACAGTATATTATATGCCAAGGTAGTGAAGACAATCATTATCGACCGAACGCGGATTAGAACCCGAGACTCGAAGCGTCGAGGGTTATAAGGGTGAGATCTATAAATGGTTTTTACTACCGTGGCGTATATACTATTTTTTTCATTAGTGGTGCACTACAAAACACAGATTTGTAAAATTTTCAATTTATTGAAAGTAACATAACATCACTGACATCACCTAACTAGGTTTCGATGTTTTCCGTCATTATTTTTCGACGTTTGAAAAGTTGATTTGTAACTACTTAATGAGGTGTGTAATTGCAAATTGTCAATTAATTTATTTAAATATTTGTAGGAAATATGTCGGACAGTGAATTATGTACCCCTCACGAGATGCTGTTATGCCAGTTAACCCTTTTATATTCCTAGTGAAGATAATTTCAAAAATCTGCCAATAATGGCCAACTTTCGTATGTCAAGAATTACATAACCTCAATCTTTATTATTAACCTTAGTTTCTAATGAGGACAGACCGTACCCGTTTTTTAAATTTAGAGTAGCAAAATATTAAAAAATTTAACACCGTAGTATAGTTTTGGAAATTTGATTCTACCCTATAAAATTTATTTTATTGGCAATAACGAGACAAGCAGTAGTACAATAGGTCCGGACAGAGACCATCATTACTCACCATGAGCCATAAATATTTCTTACCATTATACTACTGTCCGTCTCGTTATTGTCAATAAAATTTTATAGGGTAGAATAAAATTTCCAAAACTATAACTTGTAGTGGTTTGAATGCATGTTAATCTATTGTGTTTCGATATTAAGAGGGCGTTTCTCTGTCTAATACAATACTGATGACTATGAGTATCTACGTGGCAAGAATAATCTTGTAAATTTTGTTTAACGTACAATAAGCTTGTGAATAAAGGTCATAATTTCTAAATTAATAAAACTCTGTCTACAATCTGTCCTATAATTTATTCCAGCCATTACCCTAATTACCCTTCTCTGTAGCTTAAAAATTAAATGTCTTATCTGAAAATGCCTCAAATCAAAATACCATAGAGCAATGTCGACTGAAACAAAGCAAAATAAGCAGTTTTTAATATTCGCAAGGACACCTTGTTTTTTAGTTGCTTTAATAGAAAAGTAACTGACGATAATTTGTAAGAGACAGCAATTCCCTGTGCATTCCAAGTTAATTTATGATCAATATAAATGCCTAAAAATAAAGTATAGTCGGAAAACATATTACTGTTTCTAACTGTAGAGATTTTCAGTGAAAAAAGCATTCTGACAGTTTTATCTTGATTTATTGAAAGTAAATTATTGATAAACCATTTAGGAGCCCTCATCTGTGTCTCCCTGTCTTGCATTATTACCTAGGTCATTAAAATTATTGCTGCCATTTAGAAGTGAGGTGTCATCCGCAAACAGTGTACATTTCTTATCTTATAAATGGAGCGGTAAATCCTTAATATAAATTAAGAACAGTAAAGGACCCAGTACTGACCCTTGGGGCACCCCTTTTCTAACGATTAATAAGTCCCCATTGTAATAAGTTATTCTTTGCAATCTATTTCCTAAAATGGACGATATTAATTTACAACTCTCAGGAAGTAAATTGTAGCAATAAAGTTTTCGGATCAATATACATAGAAGAGTCGAAAGCTTTCCTTAGATCTAACAAAGTAGCAGATGCAACTTTATCTTGATGTAAACAATCATTTATTTGATCTACAAAATGAATGATGGCATTAGAAATACTTTTTACAATTCGAAAACCAAATTGGTTTCGACAAATGGGATGATTCTTTTCTAAATCTGAATTTAATTGAAGAAATTTTTTTTCCAATAATATAGAGCAAATCGACAAAAGGGAAATGGGCCGGTAGATACCAATATAATTTTTTTCATCCTTTTTAAAAATCGGCTATTTTCAGACAATTGAGCAAGATTGATACTGCTGTACAATTGTTTATCTATTTTGTCGATAGGAACATTATTACATCTTTAATACTTTTTGACATCCACGCTGATACCATAGCAATTATTAGTTTCGTTGTTACGTAATTCGTCTATTATTTCACGAACGTGGTCACAAGATATTTCGTCGAACATAAAATAATATCTTTCATGTTTACTATAGCCGAAGTGAGGGGGAATTAATCAGACAAATATTAAAAACGACGGCGTGACGTCAGGCGATAAATTTGGCTGGCCGACTGTGCACTCTCAACCTCAGTTTGATGCAACTCAGGGTTTATCTGTTCAAGATTATCACGAAAATTGTGATGTTTTAGTCATTTTTGATTTTTAAAGCATTTTAACATTTAGGAGAATAATAAACCTGAGGAAAACCTAGAAAAGTAGTAATTCTTATTAAGAATTCCCGAAGTTGTAGACCACAACTGTAAAAGCGCTGGCGATCGAACAGCAATGAACATCACTTCCATCCACACTACCGAAGTCTGATGATTACTATCACAGTAACTATTTGAACATTATTGAAACAGGATAACAATTTAAAGGAAACAAATTATTAAATACTGAAATCATTTCCGCTTAGATTACCCTTGTTGTAGCCAAGGTTTACATTTAAATTGTTTTTACTTCCCGAGCAAAGGAAGTATTGTAATCGAGTCCGTCGGCCGACTCTCTACTTTTGCACTTTCTCGACCTATCATGACCCCTAGAGGACGAAGAAATAGGTCGCCCGTTTCCATCTGTCTGTCCGT